GGCCAAGTTCGTTCGTTGTACAAGATTACGGTTCTATATTCTGTTACGAAACAATTTCTTTGGAATACACAAGACGAATAAGTCACTTTTCGAAACGCGGAAGATAGGGTGCGTGGAGGGACAAAGTTTTCGGTTCTCTTGATATCGTTTCCTATTGTCTTTTTGATAAAATTGCGATAAATAAGTCGAGTCTTCCCAAACGCTAATAGCCGAACTCCATCATTGTTCTACGGGACTCCTTCCCCCTTGAATTACAACAGCCCTGTATTTTGCCTTTGTCATAGGAGCCCTATTCCCGGCGGCTCAAGAAAAAGCGAATAAAATAGAAGGAAGGGTGAAGGAAAGGGGGGGTTTAGAACAGCATTTGTGCTTACAAGCCAAAAAAAGAACCATAAACATACACGCGTGTTGAGACAACACACAAAACATACTTCTGACCAGAGACGTTTCTGTTGGTTTGGGCCTTGCCTCATGGCAGGTCATCTGTCTTCTCACTTGTGACACTTTCTGTAGCGACCGACCCATCGAGAGAGACAACACCAAATCCTCCTCCCCCCGGCCACTCGCACTTGCCGTCGAAGGGGTGGTCACACTTGCCCCCCCACCACCAGAAGAGGAACCCGCGGCGTCGCGATAGCTCGGGCGACCCCCCCCATGGCGAGCGTCTCGTTCATAATGTCGCCCATTTCTGCTCGCCACTCCGAGTTGTACTCCCAAGCCTCGGTTCCATCTTCACCAATGGATTCCCAGTCCGAGTCTTGGTCTTCTTCGTGGGGGAACTTGACGCGTTTGGATTTGGAGGACTTGACAGATTTGGGGGCGACGGATTGGTGCATCTTGCCTAGGCCTCGTATATGGTCAAACTGGTCGGCTGTCAACGATAAAGACGCGCAGAGTCGAGTCACAGAGGAGAGAGAGAAAAGGTGAGCGTCAATATGTGCTAGTCATCACGCTGAAGAAAGCTCCACATACCTCTCGACTTGCGAGGTTTCTTGTTAGCATAGGCACTCGCGATCAAGTCCTCAATCGGAACGACCGTCGCTGCCTCCCTCGTCTCATCGAGGACGAT